CCTTGGGGCTCTGCCTCTTTTGCGTGGTAGGCGTGGGACAATGTGCACTGCCAAGGGGTCGGATGTACGTCCTGGCGTGCCTTGGGGCTCCGCCGCTTTTGCGTGGCAGGCGTGGCAGTCACTCACTCACTCGCTCACTCACTCACTCACTCACCCACCCACCCACCCACCCACTCACTCACGCACTCACGCACGCACGCACGCACGCACTCACTCACTCACTCACTCACTACAATTCACTCACCCGTGCATGCACATACATACATACACACACACAAACTCACCCACCATCACCCCTCCATCACTCTTATACTTCTTCTTCCCTTCTTGCTTTTCTGTGCTCAGTCTAAGTCTAGAGAAGTTGGTAACATGTGGGGTTATCCGGTCCTATAATTTTTATTTTCGTAAGTATGGCATAGAACCAAGAGTTATGGGTCAAGGCTTTGCCTGAGCTTGGGAATGGGACATCTACCCCCAAATTTATGGCTATCAACTCCAAAATTGGTGCTTCAACGGGTTGGTTCACTGAAGAGAACGTTTAGACATATAGGGGCTATTTCATGAAATATATTGGGATACATCACCAACACTATCCAGGTTGATCCAAGGGACAATTTGCAGGACCAGCCAACATTTCATGGGAATATACATGGTTTTCTGTAATTTTTTCCATTCAATCAAACCTGGAATGGCTGCTTCTTTGGATAATGAAGATATTTCACCTGGTGGGTTGGTGTCATCGTTTACATCTCCAATCTTCAGTTTACCTTAGGTCAGCTGAGGCACCTCGTTTAGGCTGAACAGCGCCGCAAAGCGGGCAGCATCAGAACTGCCCTGGAACTTTGGTGAGACCACTTTCAGCAGTGCTTGGCCGGAGATTTGGCAACCTTTGGAGGTGGAGGTGATCTGTGAAATCGCTTGGAACATTGGGTGAATCTCCAGTGTACACATACTGTACACATACCACACAGTTCACCAAAGTTTTGTACGAAACCAAAGACCCAAAGACGACTACTCGTCAACAAAACTTTCAGGTGATTTTTGCCAAACATTCCTATAAAAGCAGGAAAAAACAGTGGCAGCGCGGCTCCAGCGACTGAAGTTGCCGGTGGGAACGGTGCTGTAGGAGCTGTTGCAGCCACTGCCTTCGGGAGGAAAGGCCACTGGAACGAAGTTGTCATCGCTGATGCCAAAGAAACCTGCGACGATGTCTGCGGAGAAATTCGTTGCTACCATAAATGAGGGGATGTGAATCACTAGTCACATTCCCCTGATACAAACTGAGACATGCAAATTATCATTGATGTAGTGAATCCCAAACCATCAAAATCATCCTCAATTTTATCAGAAATTAGTGGGGTATCAGCCAGATTTCGTCCATTCCAAAATTTCCACCAGCTTTACCTTCCAGCATCCCAGCAGCATCCAGTTTCGGGCCTTCCGAGGGCTGCGAGGAGTAGAAGAGCAGATGCTTTCGAGTGGCGAAGGCATCCCAAACGTGCGTCGCCAGGGCTTTGGGGGTCAAATATGCTACCTGCAAACCTCCGGAACCCGTTCTGCAGCTGGCTGTGAAAGATGGATAAAACTGGAAGGTTATCCAATCTACCGTGATGTTTGTCATGATTATTGTTGTTATTATTGTTGTCATTTCTATGGCTGTGGTTGTTGTTGTTGTGGTGGTCGTCGTCATTATTATCTATCATTTTTCACCGATTGGGAATGATCCATCTGATCCACGGCGCCTAAAGCGTTGTTGGCAATCTGTTGCTCAATCTGGCCCTGGATGTAGCTTGGTTGGCTCCCAAGCACCTGCAGAAAACCATGAAGCGACGCGAGGGCTCGGGATCCTTGAGTCAACGGATGCTTTCAGGATCTTTCACTATATATTTCTCACCTTGCCAGTGAGTTTTCCATCATGTTTCAGCACTCCTTCAAAGGAACCCAAGAATCATTCTCCGTTTTGGGTTAATCCCAAAATTGAAGAAACACCAGCTAGTTCATTTTCAATGACCACAGCATGTGTTTCCAACAGGATTTCCTGATATTTCCTGCCATCCACCTGACCCCAACACGCTGAAGCGTTGCTGCGACACTTCTGCGGTGCCCAGGTGAAATCGCTGCAGTTCCATTCGGCTGTGGCGCAGAGGCGCTGTGGATCTGCAGATGCCTGCGACAAATGTTGAGGCCATATGGAGGTTTCCGTTTCGTCCTAGGGGTACCCCGCAGTTCTCAGTTCTCCATTTATAGATGGGATTTTCCATGAAATAAACCATCCAGATCCATCCAGCTATTGGGGGCCCCAAAGGAAAGCCTCATTAATGGGGCCAAATTGGCTTGACTCGCCACGACTCGCCACGACTCGGACCTGACCCTTCACTGGCGAGGAGTCGTAGATGGAGTTCTGTGGCCTCTGCAAGTGCTGATAGAAGGCAGCCTGGCGAGTTTGGGATTCCAACCACTGGAGGTTCTCTTTGGCGGTTCTTGGGGTTGTGACCCACTGATGCCACACGGGAAGCAGCAATTCCCCCAAAAAACAGGTGAGGTGACAATGGGGATGAAAATCCCTGACAGGTTCTTTTTTCCACCCCCCTATGGGAATAAATCACGGTGTCCATCCGGGTGCTCTTAACAAATGCCTGGCTGGAGGCATTTACCAACAGTCTACCTTGGGCAGGTCATGGACCTTTACCAACCAGGGATCACTAAAAACATGGGCCTTGATCTCTTGATGTTGCTTGACTTGAAATCAGACTGAGGTACATCCGGATTTTTTTGGAAACACGATTCAAAAAGTACCATCCGATCATCCGCTCATCTGGCTTTTCAAACACGATTCAACTCATGGACCTGTTCAATGGCCTCATGCTTCAGTCCAGAGATTTCCCGGCCTCCGGCCACTTCTCCACCGTGTATTTCATGGTGTATATCCCACCTGATCGGAGCGAATAGCTCTGCAAAGGTTCTATGGTGTCCTGTGATGATCACCATTGCTATGAACCATGGTTTGGCAATCAGTTGTGATACCACCACTTCAGTTGATACACTGAGCATTGTATCTCTTACTCGTCATTGACCATAGTTACATTCATCAAGCTAACTTTCGAGTCTTCTTGGGTGATATTCCAATGTTCAGGAGAACACATTTCCAGTCCAAAACAATGAACTCTCAACTTCTTCATCTTCTTCTTCTTCTTCTTCATCAAGAATCATCACTTTTTCAGGCAACAAACTTGGCTTTCCTGGGAGAACATCCCATTCTTTGGCTCCGATTTTTGCCAGGTGACTGTGGGCAAGGACATAGTGACCACCCGTCACCACCGCAGGGCCGTCGTCGCTCCAGGCTTTCAGCTCCTTGCTCTTGCCCTGGCTGCCGAAGGAAGCAATGGTGATTCTGTTTGGGATGTTTTGAGGGAATATCAGCACATATACGTCTATATATATATATATATCTACATAATATATCTACATATCTATATATATATATCTATCAATTTATCTACTGATTTACTTTCATGATGTATTTGTTTATGTATTCATTTTATCATTTGGAAGAATTTCCAATGGAATCCTGGCAGACACCAAGGGAACATCCAGACAGAAGTAAATTCACCTGTCTGCTTTTCGGGGTATCCGTTTTTTCGCTGCCCATGCACTTTGCCTGTGGCCACAGCTCGAAATTGGCATCAAAACGGCCTGCCAACTACAGCATGCACGATAAAAGGTTTAGCTGGTCGCGGTTTATCTCCGAAGGATCACCAGAGCCTTGTGCGATCTGTTGTGGGTCTTCCACAGGTTTAACTTCATCGGGCTCAACGATTTGAATGTCGTACTTCAGTGCCTCCGCAAGGTGCAACTGGCATGCCGTGGTTTTCCTCACAGTTGTCGTTTTGCTGGATGCTCATCCTCACATCTGACGGTCCCAAAGGTATTTCATTGACCCAAAAGGATTTGCACACAATTATTATCCATGAATTTTCTACAGAACATCTCTACCAAAACTTGATGCTTCTGGTAGCTTTTGACGCCATCCCCATCCGAGATCGTCCCCAGTTACTGATTGAATCTGCGAGTCATCTGCACCTCCGAAAGCAGAATAGCAGCGACTTCTGTGACCAACTGATGCGTGGGCCAGGAACGTTTCAAGAGCTTCAAAGTCACTCCCTACGCAGAGCAGAGCGGTCTGGAATGATCTGAAGATTTTTGGAGGTTTAACTCATCAAATCGGGGTATACTATTGGGGAGAAAAGTGGCTTTGAACCTATACAAATCAGGGCAACCAAATTAAAATATATTCCTCATGGATTCCCGAAGTAGTCGATTTCCCATTGGGAAAAACACAAATCCCATTAAGCAAACCCAGATATAGTCTTGAAACAAAACTAGTACACCGCGCTTCGGACATGGCTATGGATCAAAAATGGGCACTCGAAAACGGAATCGTTGAGCACACAAATCATGACGCACCTCTATTCTAGCAAGGTCTCACCTAGATGAAATTCCTAGGATCAAACGGAGATTTCCAGGGTAAAGTGACCCATCTCCTGAGAGGGGAAGGTGTTGTCTGGATCGATGCCACAGTGTGTCGCAGACGTCACAGCTGCCAGCGCAAGGAGAAACCATGGTGGACACATAACGATTTGTCGATGGCAGAAAATCAGCTGTAAATCAGGGGATTCCATGGCAATCTTTGAAGTGTATCACCAGTGATTTTTTCACAGGTGGAATTTTTGAAGCAAGTAGAGATTTTCATCCAAAATGCTGTACATCTCACAGTGAATACCAACCTTGGCTTTTTAAAAACTAGACATGACGATCCTAATTGGGATCTGACCGTCCGTGACTCTTTGGTCCAAATTTCAGGCACCCAGCATTTTTTATGCAGACTTTTGCTCAACCCTGAGCTTCGAACAGCTAACGCTGCAAAAGGGAAGGCTGATGCATCCAGAAATGAGGACACAACCTTTGAAACCAGAAATGAGGCATCCATTCTCACCACAAATCTTGGGGTTTCCAACTTCGAACCCCACAAGATTGGAAAGTTTTTGTCTTTTGATTTCAATATTCACAAACCCTCCAAGAAACATTGACATATGACGCATCTAGGGTATGTCCAGCATTGCTTCAGCCGTCCGAGTCGCTGTGACGGTCCCAATGTGCCGGAGATACCACTTCTTCAGGCGTCTGGCCATCCTGACATCCGGCTGCTACTTGCCATCACTTCCAGCAGATTGTTTCTCCAAAAATCACCACCCATGGCCCAGTGCCAGCAGATTTTTTGAAAACAAACCATCAAAAGTCATTGTCAGCCAAGTCATATTGTCTATGATAAATAGTTTGTTCTATGATAAATATCTTTGAGCCATGTTTTTTTTAATGATAAAGAGTCCAGCTCCTACCGATCTGCCTTGGTCTTCAAGAGGAAGTCTCCGGACCAGGTCTGGCGACAAGGGATCTCCCCCATGGTTGCATTGATGGTATGTATATATATATATATTATAAATATGTAAAAACAATTTTCCAGATATGACTCCATGTTCCAGATCCTATTGAAAAAAATATGACTCACCCAAGTATGACTCAATTCTCCTTTTTTGATGTTTCCAATTATGACTCAATTATTGAACCATGAGGCCTTGAGGCCCATCCCCCATTTACTGACAAACTGAGTTCAGCTGAGCTCAGATCCTTCACCAACTCCCGTACCACTTCGGCATCGCCATGGTAACAGGCCTGGATCATCGATATCTCCCAAAAAACAAGCTTGTCGATATGGGAGATTCACTATGTTTTTCACGGCTTTAATGGGATTTTTAACGGATTTTAATGGGATTTTACAGGATGTAAAAGCAACTTGATATGATTTGGGTGTGTCTGAACATGGGGTATACAACCAAATGACAATCTTAGTGGGATGGTGATCCTATTTTCAGGTCCAAACCTACATGGATCTTTCTTGAAATGAGGCACCCCAAAAGCATCCCAAACAAAAATTACCCTCTGGTAAACTAACATACCTATGGAAAGTCACCATTTTTCATGGGAAATTTCACTATAAATGGTGATTTTCCATAGTTATGTTAAATTACCAGAGGGTACTTGGGAAACCACTGATTAACTGGGGCAAACTGGGGCCGGCCTGGTGAATGGCTGCATAACGCCGATAGGGCGGCCGCATGTTCACCTCAGGTCAAGTCTGCGGGTTCTACGCATCGGTTGATTTTCGTGTTAGAATTGGATACATTGGATACATATCATAATAATACTATGTACATCTATGTACAATAATTATATCTAATCTAATCTTCAGATATCTACAGTAATTTCAGTAATTTCAGGATTATCTAATCTATGCTAATCCATTTTATTCTAATCCAATCTATGGTTTTTTTTCGTCACTTTTCATGGCTGAAACCTTTGACACGTTGCCGCGCCGTGCGGCGCCGTGCCGCGCCGTGGACTCGGAGCCCGGCATAGCCGGGATGGCGTCCCAAGATCTCGCGCAGCTGATCCCATTCTCCATCCTTGGCAGCGGCGATGAAGTCCTGGCAGCGGCTTGCTTTTGTTGAATACATTGAACATATGTATGTATGTATGTAATATATGTATATATATATATGTAGAGATATGTATTAATATGTGTACATGTTTTTAAACTCATATTTTTGGTTTGCGTCGATATAATTCTACACTTATGATGAGATTTGGCGATGTGCATTCACAATTTTTCAATGTGACTTGGACACTTCCAGTGCTCCCAGGCACCTCCAACTCTGAGGTATCTGGATCTTCAGCCACCTCCACAAGTTGGATGGGTGAAGATTTGATAGTCATCTATGCCAATCTATGCCAATCTATGCTGCCTATGCTGTTCGTTCTTTTTAAGGGATCTTCATCGGTGACATGATGTGAGTCATGATGGATCTATCAACATAAAAACCTGCCCTCAATCAGGATCATTCACATTCCAAACGTGATTTAAGAGCGACTAAGCTTAAAGAGTGAGGCCGGCCATTCTTGGTTGCTACGAATCATCCTTGTTAAATCTGATATTTTGGGGGTTAAACACCCGTTGGCGAGATCCAAACAACATGCTAGTTACATCTAGTTACTGTAAGTGTTCGTCAAATATAAACACGAATTCTGGTGATATAGCCAGATCCAACCCCATATTGATGTTCCTAAATGGGTTTGTAATAGGGTACCCCAAAATCCTGTGGCTTAAATGGCTTAGAGCTCCTGCCATCAGGTCATAAATTAGCGGATTCCATCATTCCAGACCCAAACTCATGATGACATATCCACACATTTTGGTGATACAACTGCCATGAATTATATATTTATATATTCCATGATATTCCGGACTATCCCAGAATTATTCACTGAGATACCCATCATCCAGCCATCTCAGTTCCCTCTCCTCGCCTTAGGCTTCGCCTTGGCCTTGCCCTTCTTGGGCTTGGGCCCCTTGGGCCCTGCTGCCACTGCTGCCTTTAGCATTGCCTAGGGAAATGCAGCTTGGCCATCAGCAAACATGACGCAAACGTCTCAAAAAATGGGTTGTTTATGGACACATGAGCTGAAACAAACAGGTTTTCAATGCGGGTGCCCATTGAGCCATTGCAATGCGCATGATGCGTTGAACACATTTGCAAACACAATGGTTCCAGCAGATTTCTTGCGCTTCACTTCTTGTACTTCCCTGAAGTCGCCTCCTCTTCTGGCGAAGGTGGTGGGATGCTGGTCCACCAACTTGGCATGCCTTTCCTGCCCATTTCCCAAGAAGTTTCAGGATCTCAGGTAGAAGCGGATTTTGGATGATGCCTTTAAGCTGGAACTGTGGCAAGTCCTCCATTCTCGCTTGTCTGGAATGTCGATTCCAAGCCTCAGGACGCTGGTATAGGTGCAGAGGTAGGGTTTAATGGGAGCATTACCAGCTGTTAATTTGGGGATTCACAACCAACCAACTGGAGGCTTCCTGAAGTGGGGGTACCTCCAAATCATTTCGGGGATGCCCCATGGAACCCAACTAACCATTCTTAACACGCCAGTTGTCAGTTGGGCATGGGCTGTGCCTAGGCTGCGGGCGGAATTCCAATGGTGTGCTTGTCAGCCCAAAGAACGAACCTCAGCACATTTTGATCTTCGCTGCTGAAAAGCTGAAAACTGCTGTGACAATCTTGGGGTATCCTCCCACCATCTGGCGCCCAGGGGCTCTGCAAAGGACACCAGGTTATTGGCATCAAAATCCAGAGCCTTTCTGCGAACTTCTGGCGCCATTGCTGTCAGAAAAACGAAACTTCTTCGATGTGGTTGAAAGTCACCTACTTTAGGTCGGTTTTTTGATATTGGAATCATTTTGGTGTGAAACTCGCTGTTTTACCACAGAATTTTTTTTCGGTTTCCTCTGATGACGCGACCTTCATCTCCTTGCTGACCACGTCGGGTTCCAAGGTCAGGAACTCCGCCAACTTTCCCATGGCTTTCATGTCCGTGACATTCACGTAGCCGTACCTGGGATGCGCGAATGCGGTGAGGAAATCATGGGGAATTCATGGGGAAATCACGGCGGGTTTTCCTCCGTGGTGGGTCTTCCCCACATTTAGGGGAAAGACTAAGAAAACGCGTCAAACGGAGACTGAGATGGGTGTAACCAAGCGAAACTTGGAGATGAGACATGGCCAACCAAACACTGGAGATATCAGAAACAATCCAAAGCATGTGGAAGGCAGTAGCAGGGGTGTGTCCACGGCCAGGGGAAACCTCAAGCATTTACTGCCCCCACTGCAGTGATACATCAAACAGTGGAGTTTCGATTGCGGATATCGATATTTTTCTTGTGAACATCGAATGCATTGATATCTATTCCTTAGTCCCTAATTAACCCCAATTATGTAACAGTTACTTCAATCCTTATTTCGTGGCTTTTCCCAAACTTTCATGCTCAACATCACCACCTTTCAGTGCCTTTCAGCCCAGCGATCTCTGGGATTGCGCGCTGATTGGCCTGGGCATCATAGCCTTCCTGGAACCAACCGGGCGAAGTTGGAAGACCCAACAGCTGGGGGTTATAACTTATATCAAACATATCAAAAATGATGGTTGAACTCACTCAAAACGGGGATCGTTGTATACTGCTGCACTTTTTGTTTGGACACTTTGATCATACATTGAAGCTCTTCTGCAAAATCTGAGTTTGACTTCACACAATCGGGACATTCATCAAAGGCATCCGTGCAGCTTCGATGTATCTGCTGCATGTTTTCATTTTCCTCATGGTTTTCAGAGTTTTCCTTGCTGAGTTTCTGGGTAGAACAGCAGCTCCCCTTTCCAGAAACTGAACCGATGGCTGAAACATGCCGTTTCAACCTTTGGTCAATGGTTTCTAATTCCAGGCCATTGACCGATACTGCCAGGAGCTGCAGTTCTTGCAAGGGAGCCAGGGGCATTTGTTCAAGCGCTCTGCAGTGAATCCGGAATGACATGAATTGACCCTTTACTCCATGTGACGTAGGAAACAACAGAGGTCTTATTTCCATTGAAATATCCTAACGAAATTGGCAAAATGGTGGACTCAATGCTGTTTGACCAAAGAAACCCGTTTCTCACTCTGGATTCAAAGCTTGCCACGTCGCTTGTGCTTTTCGCTCACACCGCCGTTGGAAACCAAGGCGTCGCCAGGGCGCACTGCAACGGGCAAAATTTTCTGCACGGCAAAGGGGAAGTCTCTGGAGTTGACCCTCTGGTAAACGTTTACATAACTATGGAAAATCACCATTTTTGATGGGAAAATCCACTATTTCTATGGCCATTTTCAATAGCAAACTGTTAGTTTACCAGAGGGTATCCATGTTTATCCCATATGTAACTGGGTTCATGGCACCAGCCTACTGGGATATACATCCACCTAGGAGGCTTGAAGGAATATAGCAACATCTCAGTCGTGACGGATTCTGTACCAGATTTGGAGCGCAAACCCACAAAGTTGTAGCTTTCTTTTCAGCTGTATCATGTTTATACATAGCGAATAGAGAATCACAAAATCTTTTGTTTACCAGTTTAATTCATGTTTGTTTTTGCTGTGAAACCACAGTCTTTTTGTTGTGGAATTCAATTCCTTGATCCGCTCCAAGTTTCAGTTGCCACATCTTTCGGGCTTCGATTCGCGCATTCGCCAGCTGGCAGCAGAGGCAGCTAGAAGAACCTGGCTCCAGCGGTTGCTACTGGAAGCGTATCTCTCCTTTAGCAAAAACATGAAATCAACACCTGAGCCAAGTCAATCCCAAGAGTTGATTCCGAAAAGTATCTGGATGAATGGAACAAAACGTTGACATATATAGTCAATCAGTTTATCTTTGGATAGTAGCTCTTAAATTAATTGAAAAACAGCAAATGCATTAAATAAAGTACAACACAGTAAAACAAACAACATGTACATATGTAACCATCTATAAAAATATATATAATGTATAATATACGTACAGATAAACCATCACCCAACCTGGTGATGGCCACAGCAAAATCCCACAGCAAGGCATCGCTGCAGCGCACCTGCCGTGATGGCATCGGATACCAACAAAGTGCACCGAAGAAAAACTGTCATTGTAGTAGGAACACAATGAATGTTATTTTGTTGATTTTCCATTCATTGTCAACAGTAACAACAAATTGTACCCAGTAACATCGGATATCAACAGATGACATTGTTTTATAGGAACACAATGAATGTCACCTGCTCTAGAACAATGTTACTGGGTATAATTTGGTACAATGATACTATCACACATGCACTTTATGTTCACTGAACAAACATAGATATGTGCGTCTGAAAATGGACGACTTACCTCAATTTATGGCAATCAAGCAGTAGGGGAACATGATGATGAACAGTTGGAGGGGCACCCCATTTTCAGACAAACGCCACCGATTCCAAATCCGTCCGATTTTTATGGTATCCTTACGCATTTATGTGATTGGACATCCAAACCCATCTGATCTGACAGGTTCTACCATCACAATGTGGGATGAGTCGTATCCCCAAATCAGATGACAGTTTTTTACTTCTCAATTCACCTTGGTTTCTGAAAACGTGTTAACCCCATGTCTTTTTTCAAGCCCAGTGACCGCAAAGTCCCCAGGATAAAAGCGGATGATGCCCAGCAGCAGCAGCAGGGACAAGCACACTGGCCTGGATCACAGCGAACAGATCTGGGACGAATCTGCCTGAAATGTTGCTCTTGGGGTGGTTTTAGATTGCTGATTATTATGATGTAAATGTAACTAGTATACATATATATATACATACTTGTATATGTATAATATATATATATGTATATATATATAAATAAATACATAAATAAATATATATATATGTATTGCCACTTCTGCAGAGGTGGTTTGAGGCAAGTATTCTCTGAGACCTGATACATCTTGTGACCATCTGGATAAGCACATCATCCCAGCATTTTATGCGGCAATAACTGTTCAATAACCCAGAAACTCCTTGGCACTCCCGGTTGCGGGCAGTAAAAACAAAATAGTTGGCCTGGGCCAAACCCTCAGTTTTGCCAATGCATGCCCCCATTGTTGGCAGGCTCTCCGTTTCCTTGGGTGCTAAACCACCTGCCAAATGATTTTTTGTGTTAAAAAACTAAGATGATCGTAATGTTTTGGAATATATCATGTACGTATTCTGGTTGGTGGTTTCAACCCCTCTGAAAAATATGAAAGTCAGTTGGGGTTACTATTCCCAATATATGGGAAAAAAAATGTTCCAAATCACCAACCAGGTATATGTGTGTATATACATATACATACATACATATATATATATACACTGTATATATATATATGATTGTATATGTATACACATGCCCATTTTGGTTTCCATGATTTTTTTGAAGGCTGAAATCCCCATCGCCATGTTGGATTCACGTCGAAGCTGTTGGATAAACCCCTCTGGGGATCGTGCAGAAAACAAGAAAATGGGATAAATCCCTCATGGCATATATACAGTATATATATATATCCCTAATTTGATGGATAGTCAATGTGTTGCCCAGATTTTTACCACAAAAAAATGCTTGACAAATCCAAAGAAAAAGGATGATCCAGACGGTAATCCAGTTTTCATGTTGGATTTTGGATGTTGAACCCCCAATTCAAGCGGCCAAAAATCAAACGACCTATTCCAACGATACATAAAATACCACCAGTTATATCTGAAAATGGGGTATACCCCAGGATTGCAACTTTCAGCTGGAAAATGATCATCATAGCCTATTCTTAGACAAACCCCTATGTACAATATGTATATATATATATATAATATCATGTATATAACAGTGTAGATGCATCCAGTATAGATACATGGGGTACCCTCTGGTAAACTAACATAACTATGGAAAATCACCATGTTTAATGGGAAAATCCACTATAAATGGTCATTTTCAATAGCTATTTTGACATAACCAGAGGGTAAATCCATCGATTTCGATCCAGCTATCCATCCCCACCTGTTCCGCGCCAGCTTGGCCGGCCACTCCGCAAGGCATTTCATGCGACGCCACTGGCGATGACGCCACCGGGAGAACCAGACCGAGGTCGAGGCCTCTGGAGGAAATTGTCACCTTACCCAATGGAAACTATATGAAACTATAGGGGTTTAGTGAAGCTTAATGGGATTTAATGGGATTTAATGGTGATTTAATGGTGATTTAATGGGATTCAATGGGATTTAATTGGATTTGATGGAATTTGATGGAATTTAAGCAACAAAAATGATGGTTCTATGGCAAAATTTAGTAGCAAACTGTGAAAACATACCGGAGGGTAACATGGCTATGGGAAATGGACCATAGAAATAGATGATCACCTATTAATAGCATGGTGATGTTCATTGATTTTCCATATCTCAAATTACCAAAGGGCACCTGCAAAACATGGAGAACATAGGACTAGAACGGGGAAATACTTGGGAAACTGGAAGGACATTGGGATATGATATAACTAGGGAACATATTTAGCAAAAAAGGAGATTCAGATTCAAACATGTGAAAGCAAGGTAGGAAATTAGGCTTTGACCTACCAAAGAATAGGGAACTTGGAATATATCTTATCCAATTTGGAGAGTAATGCTTGTTGGAAGGGTACGGGTCTCAAAAAATGATGGTACGGTGAAGGTATCCATCCTTTCTCTGAAAGCTCTCTTCGCATCGGCTGCGAGAGTTCTGTTGGTCCCCCATGTGCTCCTCTGGCTGTTCTTCCATCGTGTCAACTTCTTGGCCGTCTGTGACCGCGGCCACCTTCATATTCCAAGGTTTGCCAGGACATGGTTGTACACATCATTGCCGAAAATGGCGCCCTCACGAGCCAGTGTAGCAGCGCAGCAATGTAAATGCACGCTTCTTAAGCTGTGGGATCATGACCATCCAAGTTGGTCGGGCTGGAAAGGTAGAACATGTTTGAAAGGATCAACCCGGTAGATAATGATTATCCACCATATATGCCCATAAATGGCAACACATTAAAGATCATTAAAGTACCAAACTACTCCAAGGTTTACCCAACTTTATGATGCTTAGTCTCTTTGGGTCATGCTAGATCTCTCAGTTTTGTTGCGTCCAAATCCATTTTGGTCAGAGGCCCTGGGGATACGCTGCCTGGTGTCTGGCCATGGTGGCTCCCAGAAAGCAGGTGGAATTGTAGACAGCCATGAAGGCCTGACACGTGGGGGAAAACCAAGATGTTGGACAAACGCGGGGCATCTTGAGACAAACTCTGAAAATTGGGGCTGGTGACACAGGTCTCCAAATGTGTCGAGACCTGCAAAGTCAATGTATCGAGAAAAGCTGCAAATAAGAATCATTGGAACCCTCAATTTATGTGTTGCAATCCGTGGTTCGAGGCATCAATCCGATTTCATCGGTGAAATGTCGCATTTGAACATCACCCAACTACTGGGAACACCATCTCCCCCAACAATTCCCAACAAGGGTTAAACACCGTTTCTGATACACACATTAGATCATATAAAGGATCATTGAAGTATAAACCCCAACTAGGGAACTACATCATATTTAATGTTTAATGTGGTAACGCCAATTTCACCATCCCCAGTTTTTCACCAGAAATGGCTGGATTCGCCAAAACGGTGTTTCAGTCCACCGCTCCTGGCGAACCAAGTTGAATTCAGCACGTAGGAGGCCACCACTGGAGAGACCACCAGTACCTCGACAGACTGGGGTTCTGCCAGTACCCCATGGAAAATCTCGGTTTGGGCGATGGCGAACATGGATGAACATGGCTTGTTTGCATCGATTTCAGACCGTTTTTCGTGATCTGTGACTGGCACTGAGACACGGCTTGTTTACCGGGAATGCTCCAAGGTACCAGCCCCAGAGAAAAGCCTCGCAAAGGCCTGGCCGATGGTTGCCATAGCTTGGAAGAGCGACCTGGAGCATCCCAGGTCAGGTCCCAGCCCACATCCTCAGTCATATCCCCATTGGAGATTTTCATAAACGCTGGAAAAACCCCATTTATACAGTGACCAAATGGTCGGCGTTTCAAAACATCTGCAAAATATGAAAATCATATATTTACATATATATATATATACCCTCTGGTTATTTAACAACATAGCAATGGTATAGATGGCCCAGTTATAGATGGTTTACCTGGGTTTACCTACTAAAAATGGTGATTTTCCATGGCTATGTTCAATAACCAAATTGTGTATATATATATAGAATCAACCAGATTTCTGGTTGAAACGACCTGCCGGCGGTTGCTGCGCCAATCACCGGGGAGAACACGAAGGATGTGGCCGGCTGCAACAGCGATGAGGCGAGGGATGTGGCCATGGTGGCAGCTGAGAAGAGGCCTAGACCTGCGGGGCCAAGAGCTGAATGGTTTTCCTGGAAACTCCACTGATTTGGGGGTGGACTTTCCACCATATATTATCATATATTTAATATTATTTAGATGTCTAGGAGGTGTATCTAAACATACATCTTTGTGCACTGTTTTGTACATGTATACAAATTGTCGTTGCTTGATATACTTTTTGTATAGTGGCAAACACTGGGGATATCCAACAATGGGACCTTGGGGTAACAACCATGGGAATCTCCATTTGGAAACATGGATCCTTGATGGGGTTTTATGCTTGTTTTTTAGAGGGGTGCTAGAGATACCATGGGATCATCATGAATCTGTGTCCGCAATGGCAGTATGTAAAGCATTTATATCAGTTCTTTCTGGGTATCGATGGTGAGGTATCCAATGAAGAGGAATGCACAATGTAAACCAACAGCCAGCAAATCTCGAAAGGTTTGTCTGACAATCGCGCCCCAAATTTTGATGGTTAATCAACCGTTTCTCCATTTAAATTGCCATAAGCTGAGATATCCCCACTTGTTAAACAGATCCATATCCAGAATTTGTTGGTTCAACATGCCTAAACAACAATTCTTGTTGGTCAAATTCCGCATTTTTTTATCATTTTTAAGGTCACCCCTTCCAAGAAACCCACATATCCCGGATATCCTGGAGATCGTTTCTCTATGGTTGGCAGCCCGGGCACCAATACTCTTCACCGCTTCCCACAACATCAGCAGGCAGTGCCAGGTCCGCCGTAGAATTGTGTTGTACGGCAGGATCCAACCCAAGAGGAAGGACAAACGCACCTGAGACAGAGACATTTCTGTTGCATGGGAAAATCACAATTGAAAGTAGGCAGGATTGTCCAACAATGCAAGTTTCCATGGTGTCTTTTCAAAAGTTGGATTCTCTCAAGATTCACATCATTTGCCATGGAGTTTTGCGAGTCAAGTCAAGTCAATTGCAGGAGTCAATAAGGCTACACCCAATTTCAAACACCTCTATTATTGGCGATAGTTTATTGTTGGGTTGACCACATTAGTAACCATCAATGTCATTGATGAACCGCTATGAACCATTAAAAAAACAATTCATTTACCATTAGCAATCCCATAGTAACCATCCTAGGAATGACGCTATTACCATAACAATCATCCCATAGTAAACCCCTAATTTTCATAATCATTAGCTATCCCATAGTAATCATCCCATATTGATTTTTCTTGTCCCTCTGGAAATGTGTTGGTATGACTTCAGGCAAGTTGCCACCACCAGCTCTTCGAGTTTGCTGCTTAGGGGTCCCAGCGATTGCTTCAACAAGGAGCGCACCAATGGAATGCGCTTGTACCTCGGCTGGGGATATCCCCTTGCGGGGGGATTTAACCAGCATCGGAGATCCCAATTTTGGGATCTGAAGGATCTAAAGGAACCAAATAAGGCACATCAATATACATCAATATCATATCAACCTATTTGTGTAGCCGTAGAAGACAATTTGCGACCTAGACCTGAGGAAAATCACAGAATTTGAGGCATAGGAGCCATCTGGGATGATGGTGCCAAGTTTTCAATGGAAGAGTAGATGGTCTTGCAACAAATACTGATGCAATTACCATGCTGGAACCAAATAGATCATCCTAGGTCCTAAGAAACGGAACACCCAACAAAAATATGAGAGCCTCGTTGTGGCAGTTCAACCGTTGATGAATCTTCCACTTTAAACACCAGCCATGGATTCCGTCATTGCCGAGTTGCAAGTCGTAGAAACCCAGCAGAAGCGAGAGACAGGACACCAGCACCACGATTGCGGCCACCAAGTGTCGCATGTAGCGGTGATAGAGACCCGTGAATTTGGGTAAAACCTAGTGTGGCAAATTCTTGGTGACTGGGTACCTGGTTGGATTTCACCACCAAATATGGTGATATGATCCTGATCATTTACTCATGATAAATGGTGATTTCATGTGATTTCAATGTGGACATTTCACGATTCACTGGTTGGTGGTTGACCTACCATCTTGAAAAATATTAGTCAATGGGGTTGGGATTATCCCATATATGAAATGGAAAATAAAATTCATGTTCCAAACCACCAACCCGTTTCAGCTTTTTTTTTGAGTTCACCATCAACTCCAAGGGTACTGACGAGTTAATCTGTGGGCCTTTCATTTTGACCATCCATATGGATCCATCATTGGATCCAAAAATTCCCCAAGATATGTTGGTGAACATCTCCTGGTTGGTGGTAAACCTACCCCCCTGAAGAATATGAGTTCGTCAGATTGGATCATCATCCCAACTATTGGGGAAAATAAAACATGTTCCAAACCACCAACCAGTTGGTGAACATCTCTATTTCTAGCCTAGTGATCATCTCTCCCTTTCTGGACTCCGTGATGTTGACGCCAAATGATTCTGACGATTGCTGGTTACATCCCAGAAATTGAAACTCCCATGGTGCACAGAAATCTCATCTTGGCCACATCTCCCGCAACATCAACTTGGATCACAGATACTACTTGATGAATAGACCAGGTGAGCTTAAGCCTCCCATTTCCTGAATTTATACCATGGTCGTTGACTGGTCATCAACCATTGGTCACCATTTTTTCTGAATTCTGCGATCATTCTCTACCACCATCGTGCTTAAACTCCTAAGATTTTGCTTGTTTGTGGCCCATCCACAGATTCATCATTTCACTGGTAATCAAAGATGGAAAATCTCCAGTTCGATGAATTTCCCATTTCAATGGCCAGGCACAATGGCCCAGGCTGGGATACCAGCCTCACAGAGCCGTAACAAGCGATGGTGATCTGGATCATGGATCACCTGGCACCAGTGGTGATGAAATGCGATGATTCCGAAAAAACTTTATGATGATTGAGGAAGATCGAACAGTTCAATTGATCTCTCGCATGAACTGAGCAACAAAAACAAGTAGAAACTGGTAAAGATGTCAATTCAAATGTCAGTTTCAATAGGAATTTTCAATGGAATTAGTCATGTTAGTCGCCTCTTCTGGCTGTTGATCCAGCCCCGAGGCTATCGTACCGTCGTACCTCCCGCAGGACGTAAGGCAAGAAGGGATCGTCAAAGCGGAAGTTCACCTGGGAGCGCGAGGGGTGAAACGAGTCACGCGAGGGTCACATGGGATGAAGACTGATGAAGGCCATCTAGAAATGTGGAAAGGTTGGGAAAGGTTGGGACCAATTCAACAACTGCAACACTTGAGGTAGAAGCGGCCACAAAAACGTTGTCATAGAGGTGAGATAAGGAATCGTCTGGGGGTCTTCCTCCGTCTGTGACGGATCAGAACCACCATGTGGTCAGCTTGGACGGAGCAAACACATCATGCTATGAAATCATACCAGTGGCATGAAAAACCAAGGCCCCACAAGGGTAAACCCTCAAACCAACAACCAGGTCATCACATACAAAAGTGGAGCCTGCAATCTGCTGTATCACCAAGCTGCTGTACGATTTGACAGTTCCTCCACTACTTCACTGTGTGGGTCTTGAGTTTCCGTCGAAACTCCAGCGCTGCTTCCTGTGCCACCATCACTGCCGTTGTCGTAGACCTCTGAAACGCCGTTGAACGCGCCGTTGAACGGATGAAGATTTTGTGGCAAATGAACAGCTGCATAGAAACATGCTTGTAGCAAGGTGCATGCAAAATGAGGTCTGCCCTCTGGTCAACAAATCTGGCATTTGAACATCTCCATATTTTGGGAAGAGGATCAAGTGCAAAGAAGGGGGTTCGAAGTAGTACTCACACTTGCGATTCAACATGGAGCCCTCAAAACCATTCCCATTGGCAAACTATCATCCAACCCCCAATCTATTCTTGATGGTCAATGCCGATCATGAGTATCTGCTCTTCCAGCCGGAGAGGTAAAGTCACCAATTTCTTGCTGCGACCATTTCCTATATTGAAGTTGGAACAACCCTGATGATTGCCACAATACAACATCTTACACAAAGCTCTTAAACTGGCAATCTTTGGAACCACCACCCAGTACAATAATGTACATTCTATGATTCCCTTCCTGTGGCAGTTCCAATCTCCATTTGGGGGTTTCCTAAGTCATAAGGGTACCCCTGTTCATCATCCATTTATAGATGGGATTTTCCACAAACCATAAAAAACTATTGGGAGATCCCCATGACTATGGGGAAACTCCATTTTCATCAATTTTTGCAATTTTAGATGGGATTTTCCATATATTTTCCGGAAATTCAACCATCCAGCATCATCCATTTATAGATGGATCCCATGACTCAACCCCCATTTATATGTATATAATCCATTATAAATATATATAATCAACCTCCATTTATAATGGATCCTCCAGCATCATCCAGCTATTGGGATCCAATTTTCCCAGACCTCCAGCAGCTCGTTGCCGTTTCGGATCTTGGAGCTTTCGGCGTCGGCCTCCGCGGCATCCGCGGCATCGGCGAAGTCATCGTCCTGGTGAGCGGAAGCCGAGGTGACCGACATCGTTGTCGACACATTTCAAGACATATCATCCATGCAATCCGTATATCATCCATATATAATCCCTATATATCTTCCACATATATATATTGTGAATCGGAGGTTGTCTCCCCGATTATGTTCTGGTACTTGATCTTGAAGTGGGTGTTTCAGTGGTGACGTCACACGGGTAGCGGCTTCAGCATGGCAGTTCTTTGTTCCGGTTCCTGCAGTGGTCTTGAGCCAAAAGGGCGATTTGACGTACCCTTTGGCTGTGGATCTTTGAGTGTTGAATTATGTGATATTGTCAAAGGAAGTTTAGTGGGAGAAACTTCCGTGTTACAGACTTTTAGAATGTAAAGAAAGAGTTAGTCAAAGAAACAGTTAGTCAAAGAAAGAGTTAGTCAAAGAAAGAGTTAGTCAAAGAAAGAGTTAGTCAAAGAAACAGTTAGTCAAAGAAAGAGTTAGTCAAAGAAAGAGTTAGTCAAAGAAAGAGTTAGTCAAAGAAACAGTTAGTCAAGGAAAGAGTTAGTCAAAGAAAGAGTTAGTCAGGGAAAGAGTTAGTCAAAGAAAGAGTTAGTCAAAGAAAGAGTTAGTCAAAGAAACAGTTAGTCAGGGAAAGAGTTAGTCAAAGAAAGAGTTAGTGAGGGAAAGAGTTAGCCAAAGAAAGAGTTAGCAAAGAAACAGTTAGTCAGGGAAAGAGTTAGTCAAAGAAAGAGTTAGTGAGGGAAAGAGTTAGTCAAAGAAAGAGTTAGCAAAGAAACAGTTAGTCAGGGAAAGAGTTTGTCAAAGAAAGAGTTAGTGAGGGAAAGAGTTAGTCAAAGAAAGAGTTAGTCAAAGAAACAGTTAGTCAGGGAAAGAGTTAGTCAAAGAAAGAGTTAGTCAAAGAAAGAGTTAGTCAAAGAAACAGTTAGTCAAAGAAAGAGTTAGTCAAAGAAACAGTTAGTCAAAGAAACAGTTAGTCAAAGAAAGAGTTCGTCAAAGAAAGAGTTCGTCAAAGAAAGAGTTAGTCAAAGAAAGAGTTAGTCAAAGAAAGAGTTAGTCAAAGAAACAGTTAGTCAAAGAAAGAGTTAGTCAAAGAAAGAGTTAGTCAAAGAAAGAAAGAGTTCGTCGAAGAAAGAGTTCGTCGAAGAAACAGGTAGTCAAAGAAACAGTTAGTCAAAGAAACAGTTAAAAGAAAGAGTTCGTCGAAGAAAGAGTTCGTCGAAGGTTCGTCAGGGAAAGGGTTAGTTAAAGCAAGAGTTAGTTAGGGCATTGATTGTTCCCGCAATGCAAATGGGATTGCAAGTGGTGCTGCCGGATGAGTTGCCGATAGAGTTTTGAAGGAAGTCTCGCACGAAATGAGTTTTTGAGAGATAGCAGATGCACGAAACCCTATGTTTTTCCATACAAAGTCTGTCCCCGAACCTCGATGATCTACCTCTGCGGTGCGACGGGTGCGAGACGGTCTCGTGTGTGGTCGGATCATTCTCGGATCATTCTCGGATCGGTCTCGGATCGGTTCCGCATTGTAAATGGGGTTTCAACTGTGTTTCGTCCATGTGCGGTCGACAGAATTTCATTGTGATTTGCAACTGTAGGATCGTTCCCGCAATGTAAATGGGATTGCAAGTGGTGCTGGTGGATGAGTTGCCGATGGAGTTTTGAAGGAAGTCTCGCACGAAATGCGTTTTTGAGAGATAGCAGATGCACGAAAGCCTATGTTTTTCCATACAAAGTGTGTCCACGAACTTCGATGATTTACCTCTGCGGTGCGACGGGTGCGAGACGGTCTCGTGTGTGGTCGGATCATCCTCGGATCATCCTCGGATCATGGTCGGATCGGTCTCGGATCGGTTCCGCATTGTAAATGGGGTTTCAACTGTGTTTCGTCTATGTGCAGTCGACAGAATTCCATTGTGAATTGCAACTGTAGGATCGTTCCCGCATTGTAAATGGGGTTGCAAGTGGTGCTGGTGGATGAGTTGCCGATGGAGTTTTGAAGGAAGTCTCGCACGAAATGCGTTTTTGAGAGATAGCAGATGTACGAAACCCTATGTTTTTCCATACAAAGTCTGTCCCCGAACCTCGATGATCTACCTCTGCGGTGCGACGGGTGCGAGACGGTCTCGTGTGTGGTCGGATCATCCTCGGATCATCCTCGGATCATGGTCGGATCATGGTCGGATCGGTCTCGGATCGGTTCCGCATTGTAAATGGGGTTTCAATTGTGTTTCGTCTATGTGCGGTCGACAGAATTCCATTGTGAATTGCAACTGTAGGATCGTTCCCGCAATGTAAATGGGATTGCAAGTGGCGCTGGTGGATGAGTTGCCAATGGAATTCCATTGTGATTTGCAACTGTAGTATCCTTCCCGCAATGTAAATGGGATTGCAAGGTTGCTTCCTGCTTTGGCTGCATACGTAATACTATTGTCTTTTGCAGCTGGACTTCGTAAATCGTATTGGAGTGGCTGCATGAAGGCTGCGACATTGATTTGTCAGCAGATTTTCTCCATTTTGGCGCCAGCGATTTTCTTTTTAAAAATTCTTTTAAAAAGTGTTTCAAAATCGTCTTTTTTTCGCTCTGGCGTCGAGATCCGGTTTTGGAGCTACAATTTCCGACGCCGTTGCGCGTAGTTCTATTGTGTTTTGCAACTCAGTCTCTGCAGATCGCATTGTAATGGCTGCGTCAAGGTTGCTTCGTGCTGTGGCTGCATTTGTCATAATATTGTCTTTTGCAGCTCGACTTCGTAAATCGTATTGGAGTGGCTGCATGAAGGCTGCCACAGTGATTTGTCAGCAGATTTTCTCCATTTTGGCGCTAGTGATTTTCCTTCTAAAAATCCTTTTTAAAAGTGCTTCAAAATCGTCTTTTTTTCGCTCTGGCGTCGAGATCCGGTTTTGGAGCTACAATTTCTGACGCCGTTGCGCGTAGTTCTATTGTGTTTTGCAACTCAGTATCTGCAGATCGCATTGTAATGGCTGCGTCAAGGTTGCTTCGTGCTGTGGCTGCATTTGTCATACTATTGTCTTTTGCAGCTCGATCTCGTAAATCGTATTGGAGTGGCTGCATGAAGGCTGCGACATGGATTTGTTAGCAGATTTTCTCCATTTTGGCGCTCGTGTTTTTTTGTTGCACGTAGGTTTAGAGCAGTGTGAAGTGTGGGGCGTGAAGAGTGCGGTGTGAAGTGTGCAGTGTGAAGGAAGCAGTGGGAAGTGAGAAGTGTGAAGTGTGGAGTGTGAAGTTTAAGTTTGGAGTGCGAAGAGCGCAGTGTGAAGTGTGAAGTGTGAAGTGTGAGGTTTGGAGTGTGAAGGAAGCAGTGAGAAGTGTGAAGTGTGGACAGTGAAGTGTGAAGCGTGAGTGAAGTGTGGAGTGTGAAGTGCGAAGTGAGAAGTGTGAAGTTTGGAGTGTGAAGTTTGGAGTGGGAAGGAAGCAGTGAGAAGTCGTGGGAGCGAGCCAATGCAAGGTCTCACTGAGATCTTTCAATGCCTTGTGCAGCATGGGTTGGAGTTTTGTGGTTTGTTGAATGTATGACATTCTGGACCATTTTTTTTCAGACATGAGACCCAAAGCTCTATGAGTTTCTCCATTTTGGCGCTAGTTTTTTTTGTTGCACGTAAGTTTAGAGCAGTTGGACGTGTGGGGCGTGAAGTGTCGAGTGTGAAGTTTAAGTGTGGAGTGCGAAGAGCGCAGTGTGAAGTGTGAGGTTTGGAGTGTGAAGGAAGCAGTGAGAAGTGTGAAGTGTGAAGTGTGAGTGAAGTGTGGAGTGAGAAGTGTGAAGTTTGGAGTGTGAAGTTTGGAGTGGGAAGGAAGCAGTGAGAAGTGTGAAGTGTGGACTGTGAAGTGTGGAGTGTGAAGTGTGGAGTGTGAAGTGCGAAGTGAGAAGTGTGAAGTTAGGAGTGTGAAGGAAGCAGTGAGAAGTGAGAAGTGTGGAGTGTGAAGTGCGAAGTGAGAAGTGTGAAGTGTGAAGTGTAAAGTTTGGAGTGTGAAGGAAGCAGTGAGAAGTGAGAAGTGTGAAATGTGGAGTGTGAAGTGTGAAATGCGAAGTGAGAAGTGTGGACTGTGAAGTGTGAAGTGTGAAGTGTGGACTGTGAAGTACGAAGCGTGAAGTGTGGACTGTGAAGTGTGAAGTGTGAAGTGTGGACTGTGAAGTGTGAAGTGTGAAGTGTGGACTGTGAAGTGTGAAGTGTGCAGTGTGAAGTGTGAAGTGTGAAGTGTGAAGGAAGCAGTGAGAAGTGAGAAGTGTGGAGTGTGAAGTGTGGAGTGTGAAGTTTGAAGTTTGGAGTGCGAAGAGTGCAGTGTGCAGTGTGAGGTGTGGAGTGTCGAGGGAAGGACACGGTCGGGACAGGGTGTCTTTGAACTATAGGTCATTTATGTTTGGGAAACTTCCGCCGCCGGCTTGCCCGGGTCTATGTTACAATGGTCCGTAGCCTACACTCTATTCGCACCCCCCACGCATGGCCAACTTTGTCGGCCACGCGCAAAGGAGTGTCCCTTGAAATGATCCACTACATCTGCAGCTGTTCATTTATTGAATTATGGAGAGCTAAAGTCCGTTCAGAACTTCATATCTACATGGCGGCTTGCTACGATCTCTACCAAAAGATAAAGGTTCTGTTCACGTGCATGTAGACACGACGTAGTCGGTGTCTAGCATTGAGGTTCATCCGATGTGGCGTAGCCAGCATGGAATCCCACTCAAGCATGTGAATTAAAAAAAATCGTAACACAAAGATGACTATAGAACTAGAAGTTTACCTTCCCGTTCCTTCGTCGGTTGAGATGTAGACCGCTGTAGAAACTCAGCGTCTCGTGCAATGATGTTCAAAAAAATGTGTGGTTCTAAATTAGCCGGCTCAGAGTCCTCTCAGAAATCATTCGAAATGAAGTAGAGGTAAATCTCGAGAATGATTGCATCCTCGCATCGCCAGGTTCAATCAGGACCTATGCAGAGGTCATATCGATTTATCATCTATATCCCCATCCATAGTATCCATGTTGGTTCCAGTCT